TATCAATCATATTTCGGTTCCTGCAACAGTAATAGGTACTGCACAACAGCTGATAGGGAAATTCGAGATCGAGTACAGGTTTCCGCCAAGCTGCAAGGAAATCTATGGAATGACAGTCGTCGAAATAAACGCGAAGCTTACTCGGTATGCCTGTGCGTCGGTGGCACAGTGGTTAGGACTCTCGCCGACCATGCACATGGTCCGAGGTTCGAGACCACGCCGACACACACCTGATATCTATGGTCGGCCTGCGAAATTTGGGCTACCGATATCCATGCTGAAATTTCCATACTTGTACCAAAAATACAGTGTGGAATCAAGCTGTAAATCTAAAAAAAATCATTGCATGAACCATGTATTTAAGCGTCCTGTCACACAAGCAATCAGTAAATGCTCAAGAACGATATCGAAAACAATTTTCATATAAATTCATCCAACAAGAGCAAAATAAGCTCCGAAATCGCGTCTACTGCGTTTGCTGGACGGCTAGCTACAACTCGAATCAACGAAACCGCGCAAATGTCGTCAAGGTTAAGGCAGAGGCGCCACTTCAAATAGGGGATATGCCTTATCAACGCCCGAATATGAAGAATGAGTCGAAAATTAGCTCTGAATTATTCGAGCAAATACGACCTTCCGGTTCCATGATTGCCCGCTTATATAGTCTGTCGAAAGTGCACAAAGAGAACGTGCCACTACGTCCAATCTTGGACACGACAAATTCCCCATATCATGCTACTGCCAAATGGCTCACAGAAATCCTCCTACCTATCAGAAATAACCTGTGCAGGCATAGCGTTTCTGATTCGTTTAAATTCGTCGATTCAATAAGTGATGCTAATGTATTTTGGAAGAAAATGATATTTATGGATGTTACTTCGCTTTTCACCAACGTACCCCTCACTGAAACTATCTGCTTTATATGCAAATTCATTAAGGATAATAATGTAGACGTATGTGTTCCGATCCACTACTTAAAGGAACTTCTTTTGAGGTGCACTCTAAATGTCCAATTCAAGTTCAACAACACGATCTATAGACAAAGAGATGGAGTAGCAATGGGGTCACCACTAGGTCCTTTACTTGTGGACTGCTTTTTGGCTAGTTTGAAGAATAGCACTTTACGGCCTACTATCGACAGTTTCCATCTGTACCAAAGATACATGGATGATACTTTCATCATATGTGACGACGATACCGACATCGAATTGATAACTAAGGAGTTCAACAGCTGCCATCATGCCACCAAGTTCACGTCGGAATCAGAGATTAACTCGGAATTCCATTTTCTGGACGTTTCTCTAAAGAGGATATTTGATGGTTCTCTCCAAAGATCGATCTACAGGAAACCAACATGGAATGGTCAGTACACAAATTTCCATAGGTGGGTCCCTTTAAGAAGAAAGAGAAATCTGATCCATTCCTCATCCTCAAGAATAAGGATGATATGTTCAAGTGATACAATCGATGGGGAATTGGAGCGACTTAGACAAGTTCTCATAGAGAATGGATATCCTCCAAGATTTATCGAGAAAAACATGAAGTTAAGAGAAAAGCCTGAAAGAATCCAGACGGTGCCGATGAAACTGCTCTTTATGAGTGTTGAATTTAAAGGTGATACTGTAGCTGAGATCCTGAAGAATCGCTTATGCAGATCACTGAGGAAAGTCTTCTTTATGGTTGAACTACGTATCAACTTCTACGGCCGACAAATGATCAACGGATGTGTGAAGGATAAACTGCCGCTTTGGGCCACCTCAATGTGTGTTTATAAATTCACCTGCTCGTGTGGAGCTGGTTATATTGGCCGCACAAAGCGCACGCTTCCCAAACGCATCTGTGAACATTATCCGGCATGGTTAGCAAAGAGACAATGCAAGACAATTACTAGCTCAATTCTCGAGCATTTGGTGAACTCAGGCCACATAGCTCCACCAGAGTCGTCTTTTAGCATCATCTACAAAGTGAAGCCAAATGGTACAAAGGGCATCAAGTTTCGGCTTTTGTGTATGACGGAGGCGCTGGCAATTCATCAATACAACCCTGAACTCTGTATACAGAAAAATTTTGTCCAGTCTCTTATTCTTCATTGGTCTTAACCTCTTCACTAATCGTTCCCTGTAAAAAATTTTTGATTTTTTCTCTTGTTCTTAATTTTTGATTTTACTCTTAGTCTGCTTTTGCTTTAAAAATTAATTCACTATTATCAGTTTCATATGCTCCTTTTGTATATTTTCACACCCCCTTCACACTTGTTAAATTAACACTCAAATACCTTTATTCTCACTGAAGAGCAATTTTAACCTTATCAAACTTCTATCTTTGTTCTGTTGAGTACCATCTAATTTACAACTTTTAGTTTTCACTTCTAAAGCCACTTATGATTAATTATATCAATTATGTCACCCCCTATTACTCAATAATAGATCACTATACATTTTTCTAATTATAAATACGACTGTACAGCCTTTGAAGATGATTTCGTCGATAAAGAAAATTTTCTTCGCTGAATCTGTCTTTTATTTTCTTCAAATCTCATTCCGTCTAATTGTGGGAGAGGCCACCTCCGTAAAATCGGTACGAAAACCATTCTTCTAGAGTACACATGATCATCGACATTTGCCAATGTCTGAATGCAGGTCCATATTCTGTTTCTCGAGGTTGGTTTGATATTCTTTCAATTTAGTCGAATCTTCGGTGTCTCTTAAGGCCCTCCACAGTTTGACAACATTCGCGGACCGAAGCGTTGCGAAGCTTAGGTTATCAGGGGGGATTTGGGAAGACGAGGAACAACAGTGGATCTAGAGTTGCTGCTGTCTAAACCCCAGTGATCGCCTAGGTTCATTTTTAAAAAACGCAGTTAGGCTCTGTGTGAAACCCTCTGCCCTGCATGTGGGCGTTGATTCAAGCTAGAATTGGACTAATGAGGGCCGTTTCAGACAATTTCCGTGGAAGAATCTCGTAAAAAGATGAGCATCTCAAATTCGCGACCTATTTTTCTGCAAAAACTCGTGGGACTGTACCAGCAGGTGGCTCCTTGTGAGTTGCTACCTCAGGCCGTTAAGTATTATGGTCAGCCCAAGTCAACACAAAAGTGTCTGTAAAACTTTGGAGGGACCTCAGCCAGATCTACAGTTACATGGTAGGAGCGGGCGTCGAAATAAATAGAGTACGTTATTACCACTCACCTTTGACAAAAAGTGTACGCAGGAGCACAGTGCCTTGATTATTCATTTATTCCAGGCCGAGAATTGAGCTTAATGGTTGTTGGACGAGACAATTCATGTAACGCATTGAAGACCTCATGTTGTAAGGCTACTGTAACACAGCACGCTACAGTCATCCTGATGTAGTTAGTGATTAAGGAAATCAGAAGGACAGAACGGGTAACTGTGTCCTCTTTGTGATTTGTGAGTCTTCATTTATGTAATGAATGATGAGTGCACTTCCGTGTGTTTGACTAGGATTCCCTCTCCAGTCAATCTCTTCTGTGCTTTGGGAATATTAGGTTTTAAAAACCATTAGTCCTTCACAATATTACCAGCCGTCGGTCGAGATTGTTAGCGATTATTTTGCTAGAAAAGTCGGTTTCTGAGTAGTCAGCAACCTTTAGATACATCAGTGCCGAGAGTTTGCATGGAAAAGTCGCAAAATATGGTCATCTTAAACATGCTAGATAGTCTCTCTTGAGATTCCACAGTTTTTTCCAGAAACGTTGAGGCTGACTGTCGTCCTATGAGAAACTATCCGGGTTCAGGAACTCTAAATTGAGGATTTAGGAGAAACAGCAGATTTGCGACAAGGTGTATGCCACAGTATGAGTGGTTCTAGAAAGGAAGCATACATTTGGAAAATGCTTTGATGTTGCGTCTGGCATTTGGGGCAGTGGCGGATTTATAGCCTTCTTCCTAATGTCGATTGAAACGTGCAGCACGATACGTAACTAGAAGCCACCTGCTGAAGCCGCCACACTTTGATTTCTTGGGCTACAGCTGACTTAGAAGAAAATTCAGTTGTTGTCTGGTTGTTGTAAGACTGGACTGTTGACATCATCAGATATAATAACGAATATACTGACACGTGGTGTTTCGTTCTGATGCACTAATAAGGTGGCATCCGCTATGGTTTTTCGGCTTTAGAGAAGGAGTTATTAAAGGATGCGTCGAGATTAACACACTTGGAATCCCGTAGGTGATGGTATGTCACCAGTCGTATTATAGAGGCGCGATAAGGAGTATGCCGTCTGTAACAGCTTTTTAAGCTATCAAAAGTGAGAAGACGTTCCTTGGTTTTCGGATGCACACAATCTTCCAGCCAATAGGTGGACAATCGTAGGTATATGGTATGATCAAGAAACTTTAGGTGATTCTCCTCCTGTTCAACACTTGTGAACGAATATGCTGAAACGGTGTAAATGTAAGTTGTCGAAGGCGAGTTTCCTTATCCGGAATTTTGGTGAACCAGTCGTCTAAGTACGTATGTATGAGGTTACAACGACAGAATTCCTCATCGATAAGGCATCTGAATGTTTATGTTCTTTCCCGAATGGTATACTTAGGAAAGGCTTAGTAATAGGTGCTTTTATACGGTTTCCCAAGGCATTCGAAACTCAATTTTATTTACAAATTTGATTTTTTAAAAGACACTCACACCTAGAGTGTAGCTTTCAACTCATACACATGTGATATTGGACAGATCACTTACAGCCAGACCTCTCTAATTAGTTGGATAAGTTACTGGGCATATGCTGAGTGATATTTTCGATCTCCATACGGGTCTCCATATGGGGTTATTGTCAGGATTGGAGCTTAGAAGTTGGAGTTGGTGTCATAATTTCCCAAAGAATCTCAGTGGTTCTTCTGTCTATCAGGCGTCAGGCTAACTTATTTCTAATGTAAATAGGCACAGAGGCTGATTAGGCTTTGCTCACTTTTTAATGAAATTATCCAAGAAAATACTTAATCTTAATCCTTTAAGTTGTTTGTTCACTTGAATAATGACGGGTCGGACGTCCTTCTAAAGCGGGATGTTGGGATGTTAGGATGAGTGGCGCTGGGACTGCTGGTGATGCTTCTCCTGCTGCGTCCGTACCGTTTTCTTGTAAGTTCTACGTAATTCTTTAACAATTTTAAGATATTCTATTCAGAATATATTTGTGGGCTGCATCATCCAACATTTTTGTGCATATTGTAGCCCTACTTGTTGCATTTTACAGTCTTAGGGCACATAAATCTGCTAGAATATGCGCTCCTATTTTTATATTTGTGATGGGAGTTCTAAATACAATATCTTTCATATTAATTACAAGTAAATATGTAGTATTTACATGATGACTTTAACCTAGGCATAGTAGTTGCTGGGGTGTATAAAGCGACTGGCATAACATTCAATGAAATCCATGCTATCGCTTCTGGTGTTACTCAAACGTTGCTGTTGTTTCTCTTCTCTGCCACACGTATTCCATCTACACTTTGAATTCAAAGAGCAAATTTCCCGTAATCTAACTCATTTTGATGCAAATAGTTTTTAAATGAAAATAAATATTCCTTTATTTTAAAACCTTTCTTACTCATACAACTGGCTGTGCATGCAAAGTAACATTCATCCATACATCCAAGTAAAAAATTAGGTAAATTTACCCCAACTTGATGTAAACTTGCCTACAGCCACACTGAACCTTCCCGACATCCAGCACACACCCGAATGGGATATAGACACTTGTCCGTCGTCTGTAAGTGAGGTCACAAAAGCTATCAGTAATTTGAAACGAGGCAAAGCGGCAGGACCCGACGAAATTATTCCGAAGGTGTTTAAATATGGGGGTGATATACTAGTTTGTGGATTAACTGAGGTACTAGCCAACGTCTGGGAATCAGAGACAGTGCCATCAGACTGGGGTAAGTCACTTATTATACCGATATTCAAGAAGGGAAACAAGTCCTCGTGTGATAATCATAGGGGGATCAGCCTAACGAACATAGTTTCTAAAATCCTAGGCTCAGTAATCATGCATAGGCTAAGCAGAACTCGGGAGGAACAGACGAGGGAAAATCAAGCAGGCTTTAGACCAGGTAGAGGGTGCATAGATCATGTCTTTACTCTTCGACAGATTCTAGAACGTAGACACACTTTTCGGAGTCCAACAATTGCCATATTTCTCGACTTGAAGGCGGCCTTCGACTCCGTGGATAGAAAGGTACTATGGCAATGTTTGACTGTGAAGGGTGTGCCAAGAAAGTACATTGCACTAATCAATGCACTCTATTCAAACTCACGTAGGCGTGTAAGGGCTTATGGGGAATTGTCATCTGAATTGGTAACAACCAGTGGTGTCCGGCAGGGATGTCCACTTTCCCCATTCCTGTTTAACTTCATCATAGATATGCTGATGGAAGTATCCTTAACTGAACGTAATGACTTAGGAATCGACTTGTTACCAGGGAATAGTCTTATGGAGTTAGAATATGCAGATGACATAGTCCTGTTAGGGGAGGATGCTGACAAAGTGCAGAGTCTTCAGAACATCTTGAGCAGCAATCTTCGTATGTTTGGCATGCGATTCGCCCCTGTAAATTGTGAGATGCTACTACAGGACTGGACTACGTCAACTCCTAGCTTAGTGATAGGGAGTGAAGTGATAGAACATGTTGACCAATTCACCTATTTGGGAAGTTGTATTAGCACCAACGGACAGATTGGCGATGAGATCTCAGCACGATCCAATAAGCTCGAGCTGCTTTCGCTGACTTACACCATCTCTGGCGTAGGCGTGACATCCGGTTATCAACCAACGGACGTGTGTACTGCTCAGCAGTTCGCTCCGTCCTTCTCTATGGCTCTGAAACATGGCCAATACGAGTTGAAGACATGAAAAGGTTGACTGCTTTCGATCATAGATGTCTGCGATCTCTTTCTCACGTTAGGTGGTATAATAAGGTAAGTAATGCTGACGTTAGGCGTAGAGTGTTGGGCAAAGAGGGAAAATCAATGGACGAGGCTATAAAGTTACATAGGCTAAGATGGCTAGGTGACGTGCTGCGCATGCCTAACCACCGCATTGCTAGCTGATATAGGTGAAGGTTGGAAAAGAGCCAGTGGTGGCCAAACAAAAACATGGCATCAATCCATGAAATCCTTGACAGTTAAACTGAGTCAGGTAGGGAGATGCAGACTCCCGGGTTGGGGGCCTCGGGACTCTAGGAATCAATGACTGGAGACAATAGGTGACATGGCTCAAAATCGTTGTCAATGGCCAACGCAGATGTATTCAGTCTCTGTAATCTTTCATATTCCTTTCTACCATTACCCATTCTGTTTCACTCTTATACTTGTCAAACTCTATTGATTCTCTTCACTCATCTTCTTGTCTACCTCTGTGTGCTATTTGGAAGGTGGCAACTCGAACTGCTGCACTTCGGTGCCAAGTTCTATGTTGAATCCAGACAGACAAACATGTGGAGATGCGTCTTTCTTCCCTCCTCCAGATATGCGAAAGCTATCTCTTGGATCGTCAGAAGTCCCTCAAAATTATCCGAATCTCCCTAACATTCCCTACTTGAATCTCTTAAGAATAAGGGGCAGTTTCAGATTCAGGCAGACATTAATAGTCTGTTGTGTTGTGTGTGCTAATCCTTGCAATACACATATATATCTGCAGAGGTCTACAGAACATATTTCTCTTTGAAAGCGTTTAGCGATAGATTCCAAACGTTTTCACTTCTATCATTTATGATTAAGAGGCTCTGAGCAGTCATGATGGCATAGTGCAGCCATGACCTCATCAGAGATTGAACTCGTACCATCAGGCTATGAGACAAAGATTGTTGGCCCTCCAGCAACTTGGGATAAAATTCAATTATCCGGTGATTTCCACTTCGTCATTTTGCGTAATAGTACTGTCGTCACAAGTGGCCTCAGGAAACTAAATCCGTATTTGAGGAAGAACTAGCTAAACACATCTGTGTTCGACAGCTGTGCTCACCCTGAAGAACATTGGAAAAATATCCAGGCAGCCATAGATACAGCTGTAAAAGCTGTGAATAAGTTAAACCCAAAGGTGGGTAAAAACCACTGGATCTCCACCGCCTCATCCGAACTGATAGATGCTAGAAGACTTATTCTGGCGAGCTCCGAATTCAATGAGGAGCGAAAGCAGCACAAGAGGAAACTTACGAAAAGTCTCCGCAAGGACCGTGAACAGTGGTGGGTGACAAAAGCCAAAGAGATGGAGAAAGCTTCGAGGATAGGCAACACCAGGCAACTATTTAGACTCATCAGGGAAACGGGTGGGAGAAGACAAATCATTAGTGAAACAATCTCGGAGAAAAATGGCACTATAATTAGCTCCCAGGATAGACGACTGGATCGTTGGAAAGAGCATTATGAGGAGCAGTTTAATTGGCCCATAGCCACGCTCAACCTGCCGAACATCCAAACCTCCCTGAATGGGATATAGACACAGGTCATCCATCCCTAACTGAGGTTACTAAAGCTGTCACCAATCTGAAACTAGGCAAAGCAGCGGGACCTGATGGAATGACTCCAGAGGTGTTTAAGTACGGTGGAGACAGATTACTGTCTGCATTAACTGAGGTACTAGGCAGCGTCTGGGAATCAGAAGTCCCATCGGGTTGGTGTAAGTCACTGATTATCCCCATATACAAGAAGGGAGACAAGTCTTCCTGTGATAATCACAGAGGGATTAGCTTGACTAATATAGTATAGATGAAAGCCCTATGTTCCTCTAGGAACTAAAGGATACAATAATAATAATAATAATAAATAATATAGTATCTAAAGTCTTAGGCTTAATAATCATGCGTAGACTAAGTGGTGCTCGGGAGGCACAAACACGAGAGAGCCAGGCAGGCTTTAGACCAGGGAGAGGGTGTATTGATCACATCTTCACCCTCCGACAGATTCTAGAACATAGGAATTCCTACCGGCGTCCAACAGTCATTATATTTCTTGACCTAAAGGCAGCATTCGACTCTGTCGATCGAGAAGTTCTCTGGAGATGCTTGGCTGTAAAGGGAATTCCGAGAAAATATATTGCACTGATTAAGGAACTCTACTCGTACTCATACAGCCAGGTGAGGGCTTACGGCGAGCTGTCATCTGAACTGGTGACGACCAGTAGTGTCCGTCGAGGATGCCCATTATCTCCTTTTCTATTCAACTTCATCATAGATGTGTTAATGGACTTAACCCTAGGTGACTTCAGTGAATCAGGGATTGACTTGCTACCGGGGAATAATCTCGTTGACTTGGAATATGCAGACGATATAGTCCTTCTAGGCGAAGACGCTGACGAAATGCAAAGTCTTCTGAACACCTTGAGCTGTAATCTACGAGTGTTTGGCATGCGATTCGCTCCCGCCAAACGCAAGACGATGTTACAGGACTGAACTACATCGACGCCTAGTTTAAAAATAGGAAGTGAAGTGGTAGAGCACGTTGACCGCTTCACTTATTTGGGAAGTACCATCAGCCAACGCCAACGGGTTGATCTCTGACGAAATCTCAGCACGAATAAAGGGGGCTCGTTTCGCATTTGCCAGTTTACGCCGACTCTGGCGTAGACGAGATGTTCGACTATCGACCAAAGGGTGGGTGTACTGCTCATCAGTCCGCTCCGTCCTCCTTTATGGTTGTGAGACCTGGCCACTGAGAGTGGAAGACATGAAAAGACTAGCTGTCTTTGATCATAGGTGCCTGCGCTTTATTTCCCGTGTAAAGTGGCATAATAAGGTGAGCAACATTGAAGTTAGGCGTCGAGTGCTAGGTAAACAGGGGAAATCAATCGACGAAGTGGTGAAGTTACAAAGACTGAGATGGTTAGGACATTTGTTACGTATGCCTAGTCATCGCCTTCCTCGACGAGCAATGTTAGCGGATATAGGGTCAGGCCGGAAAAAAGCTAGCGGAGGTCAAAAAAAAACTTGGCACCAGTCAATGAAATCCACAACAGTTGGTCTAAGCCACGTAGGAAGGTATAGACTTCATAGCTGGTTGGGGTCCTCGGGACGGTAAAAATCTATGGTTGGAAACAATTGGTGACATGGCTGAAAATCGTTCTCAGTGGCGCAGATGCATCCACT